AAGGTATGCTTCAGATTTAATATGTTGCTCCAGTGTTTGTGGATATAGAAAAGATTTCTATACATCTAAAATTTGTAACCGCACTCATGATTCAACTGTAATTGAGTTTAAATAAAAATGTTCAACTGTAATTGAAATTAAATAAAAAAATATAATAAATAATAATAATAATGATATTAATCTTCGTATTGTATATAGCATGAGATCAATTGGACAAGGGTATTCAGGACTTAAAAAGTTTTCTGCATTAATGAATCTCTCAAATCCGATGAGTAAAAAAATTACAATGGCTCTGTAAAGGTTATTACTGATGCTGCTACTACAGTTGCTAAAAAAAAAATGCTTGAAGCTGCAAAAAAAAATAAAAGTTAATAGCAACAACATTGTTGATACTGGAGTTTTAACTGATGGAACTTGGCAACGTAGAGGATACAGTTCACTGAATGGAGTTGTGACAACATTGTCGATGGATAATGGAAAAGTGTTAGATGTTGAGCCAATGAGTAGACTTTGTAAGTGACAATGTCAACTACGCGAAGATTTAAAATCAAAGAATTCAGAGAGCTGCAAAAATTGGTACAAATCTCATAGTTGTAACATAAATTGTATTGGCTCAGCAGGAAATATGAAAGTGACTGGTGCCAAACGCATATTTAGTAGATTTGTCAAAGAATACGGATTGCAGTATACTAAATTTTATGGAGATGGTGACAGTAAAAGTTATCCAGCTGTGAAATTTACCTAATCTGGTGTTGAAGTTGAAAAGTTAAAGTGTGTTAGGCATGTTCAGAAACAAGTTGGGACACATCTAAGAACATTAAAAAAAATATGAAAAACCTCTGTGGCCGTGGAAAAAACACATGTTAACAAACCGTGTTAACAAACAGTGTTATTGATAAGCTTCAGAATTGCGGATTGCGGTGAGGAGTAATAAAAACAATTTACAAGGAAGAAATCCATTCATTCCATTCATGTTACACTTTTTCATGTTGCGTCATCAAAGGAAAATAACTGGCACACTCACTGTCCAATTGGTGAAAAGTGCAGATATCAGAAATATAAAGCAACAGACAAATCAACTTTCAAACCAGGTGCAGGACCACTATCAATTATAAAACATTTAAAACCAATATATGCAGATTTAAATGAGGAGTCTTTGTTACGTAAATGTTTGCATGGGCAGACACAAAATCAAAACGAAAGTCTAAATGCAATGATTTGGGATCAAATCCCAAAAATGTCAGATTAAAAAAGATTAAATTTGGAACATACGATGCTGTAGCAAACTTTAATATTGGGAGAAAAAGTTCTCTTTTAATTTTTAAACAGTTAAACATGATACCTGGGAAATATACATCAAATTTGTGCGATAGTCAAAATCAAAAACGTATTTATTTAACTGGATATAAAAATCTAGAGTCATCCAAGAAGCGGCGAAAGATTCTACAAGGGTTGTCAAAAGCATCAAAGGACAAATATAAAAACTTTGAGGGAAGTCAGTATGCCCCTGGGTCATTCTGAAACATTATTTTAAACATAATTTAGTTATATTTCATATTTTTTGTGAAATTTTTAATTTTTTTTCCTATTTTTGCGTTTTTCCCAAAATAAGGTTTTTAAATGCCCCGGCTGTGATAACTTTGGAACCGCTTGGTTTTTAATGATGAAATTTTCAGTTATTACCCTATTTTATACCTTTTGTGATTTGAACCTTCACTTTTATGAAATACTTGACAGAACACGCTCAACGCTTATTTCAATTGCCTAATTTTGACCAAAATTCATTAAATGATAATAAATTTGCCCCCTTAAGAACTGTCATATTTTTGCATAAAATTTTAGGTTCAGATCACAGTTCAAAGTATTAGTTAAACGGAATTGCAGTATGACTGTTTGAATATATGAAGTTCTTCGGATAAGTTAGCCGGGGCATTAACTGTTTTTTGGTTATTTTTCAATATTTTCTTGGTTACCATGGCAACAAAGCACAATTTTTTTAAAATTTTATTTTAAAATATAAAATTTTGACATTACATATTGTTTAAAATCAATTTTACTGTTTGAACATGAGTTTTATTATTTTTGGGGTACTTCCCCCTTAAAACAAGTTGAAACGACGGTCAACTATGTACTTTAGATCATGGTGGCTTTGACTAGTAACAAGTACTGAAGATAAAATTAAAAAAGTACTGGTTTCTATTAACATTTAATAAGAGCTAAAATCTAAGATAACAATTGTAATAAAAATGAAATTAAAAAATGGTTTTAATAGCTATTTTATTTTTTATTTTATTTTGAACAAAAAAGCTAATAAAACAATTTTATAACTCCATTTTTATTGCAATTGTTATCTTAGATTTTAACTCTTATTAAATGTTATTAAAAATTTTTTAATTTTATCTTTAGTACCTGTTTCTAGTTTTTTTCAATTATTTTCAGTTAAGTTATTTAATTAAGGTTTTCGCTAGAAAATTTTTCCATATAAACTGACAATATTGCCATTATTAGTTACAATTTTTCAAAGTTTAAAGGTGTCTGGCAAAGGATTGCTACCATGATAAGTGTCTGGGAATGGATGACATGATTTGTAATCCTAGTATGAAGAAAATTGTAAGAAAATTACGCGTTAATATTTTAACGCAGTTTAGCCGGTATTAAAAACCTTTGGTGCCTGTTATCAGCCAAAGCCACTATAATCTAAAATACATAGATAACCATTGTTCCTACTTGTGTTGGAAACACACGCTGAGAATTTTAAGCTTTTATAAAATAACATAGATCTGGCGGCCACGGGCTCTTGTTCTAATAGGGACAAAAACGAAAAAAACTTATTTGACCTTTTACCTATTTATCGTTGTAAGCTTACAATATGCATCTTATAAGACGCATTTTGTAAGATTCGTTAGATAATAAATATTAATATAAAAGCAAAAGCAAGTCTAGATAAGTTTGTTAGATAAATATTTATATAGAAGCAAAAGTTAAATCATAGTTAGATAATAAATATTTATATAGAAGCAAAAGTTGAATCATGTATAATAAGTTGTAGGGAAATAATTTTCGAAAAGTATATTTAAATTAAGTGTAATTTTAATTTTCAAAACGGACATTTTGTGACTCAAAAGTTACAAAATGCCCGTTTTGACAAAATCGATCTTAAAAATTTTAAATGATCCTAAAATTTGAAGAAATATAAAATAGCTATGTAATTTTTTTTGCTTAAAGAAATAAATTTTTTATTTTCTTTGTGTTAAATGAAAAACTTTTTAATTATGTAAAAACGTTAAAACATTTGTCTCTATCATGAAGCCATTTAGAACTAGTTTTGATGGGATGGTAATATAATTTATGAAGTCATTTAGAACTAGTTTTGATGTAATGGTAAGGTAATTTATGAAGCCATTTAGAACTACTTTTGATTTGATGGTAAGATAATTTATGAAGTCATTTAGAACTAGTTTTGATGTAATGGTAAGGTAATTTATGAAGCCATTTAGAACTACTTTTGATTTGATGGTAAGATAATTTATGAAGTCATTTAGAACTAGTTTTGATGTAATGGTAAGGTAATTTATGAAGCCATTTAGAACTACTTTTGATTTGATGGTAAAATAATTTATGAAGCCATTTAGAACTAGTTTTGATGTGATGGTAGGATAATTTAAGATATCTGATCTGATTAGATGATAACAAAATACTATTTTTTCTGCTTCCAAATTTCAAACAACACTAATTCATAGTAACGAAATAGTAAAGACACCTTCAATAGTAAAGAACAAAGGAGAACACCGACTACTTAGAACACATTTAATGAATGTGGGAGAATACTAACTACTTAAAACACATTTACGTAAAAAGTTAGTTTAATAAAAGTTTCTTAGTTACCACTTTCTTAGTTACCACAGCTTTAGCAATATTATGTGGATAAACATTATTTAAATAACTTTATAACTTGAATATCGCAAGTTAGTTAGCAAATATGCCAAATACCGCAAATTTGCAAAATTCATTTTAATAAACGTGATGTTTTAAAAATATTTTAAAAATAATATTAATCGTGTCGTCTCAAAACAACTGAAAAAGGGTAATGTGTAGTCAGTTCCTCAAAATCACTGAGTTTATCAATTCCTCTTTTTCCCTCGTCACCAGGAAGTCCTATTTTACATTCACTAAATTCAACTGATGGGTCTTTCTCCAGCAAAATTATATAATCTGCTAAATCACGTGACCTAGGAACGTTATACTTATACTTTAAATCACCATCGGATATTTGACACTTAAGATTTATAAATTTAAATTTGTCATAAACCACTTTATCAATATCAAATTCATCCTCAAGGTTTAAACTTGCCATCAACAACTTAAAATCACATTTTCTTGTTTGAACATCTTTATCTATTGCACCAATTATTTTCTCAAAGTCTATTCCATTTGAACGATGTTTTTCGCTTGTTCGGACAGTGTAGAAGCAAGGTTGTAATCTATACGTATCAATAACAATTCGAGGTGCAAATAGCCCTACTGTTGTTACCATATTCTCAGCTTCCTCTCGTGTAGGATTTATCAAAACATCACTAACATCTTCCCCTTTAAATTTTTTACGCAGTATATACATATCAGTTTCTCCGTCTTTGATATATTCGCTAATATATATTCCAAACTCAGTGGTAAGATCTCCCTGCTTCAAGCGAACAACATCACCTAAAGTATATATGTTGCTACAAAATCAAAAATAAGTTTAGAAACGAAAAAATTTTATAAATTTAAAACATTTTAAAAAATTTTGAAGAAGTTATGCAATAGAAAAAAAAACAATATTATATATGTTTTTAAAACTATGCAAAATATAGAAAAAAATTTTCTTGTCGTAGCATGTTTGCTTCAATCTGTTATTTAAAAGCCAACATTTTCTTAAAGTTATTTTTCAATTTTTCTTGAATTCTTGATTATTATTATTAATTTATTTACTCATCCTTTTATTTTCTATTCTGATAAGTTAAACTTTGTTTAAAATAAAACTTACTTCCTCCCAGTTCTTGGTCATCTAAAATTCTGTCATGAGGAGGAAACTCGTGAAATACAGCCATATGATATTTTTTAAGACGTTGAATGAAACCTCTCTTCACATCTGGATCGAGTAGTCGTTCTTTAAAAGTATCACCTTGAATATTCCAACTTGCCAATCTCAATTCAACCGGAGACGAGCGACCGGATACTTTTAATGAAACTCGCAGTTCTAATGGCAAATGGTCACTTATATAACTTGAAGGAGTCCATATATCTTTACAAACACTGTTTTGAAGTTCAGCTTTGCCAGCCATTTGAAATGCTTTTATACATTCATAAATAGAATCTGACTCATCGTTATCAGATGTATAAAGTGATGTCATGTAGTTGTTATAGAGACGCTGTAAAATAAACGGCATTACCACAGCTTCTGGCTCTAAAGGAAAATCTGGTCCAATAGCTTTTAAATTACCTTTTAAAGGCAAGTTAGCAATAATGTTATCAAATCTTCTTCCGTATACTGTAGTTATGGGGTCTTTTTCGCCGTACGTTAATGGCGAGTGAAAATTTTCTCCTTCAATCTGTAAGTTTGTTAGGATTTTGTACATATCACCTTTATCGTCAGATCCTGATAACCTATCCATATGAAAATCTCCCGCTATAATTTTTTTGTAACTTGTTTCTGCCTGTGAATTAACATTCGCTATGTCTGCAGCAATTTTTGCCATACAAGCGCGTTGTAAATGTTTTCCTTTTGGAAATCTGACATTGGCTAAAATAAATGGATCTCCGGAATTTAAATCAGATTTTACAGTATAAATGACATAATTAGGCTTATGAACTACTTTTGGTGGAGGAGCTGGGTTTGAACTTTGGCTATCAATAACTCTTTGATCACCGGATTCTTGAACCATGTTGGGAGACTTTATAATTTTTTCCGGCTCGACAGTTTCTGGTTGCAAAGCTTTAGGTAACATTACAGTCATATCGGGACCCTGTATAGCTAATACACCATCTTGAGGTGTATACTTTGCTGTGTAACTTATGTGAGGTGTGGCAAGTTGACGTTTTAAAGCTTTTTCTTTGTTTGTTTTTTTTTTATTTTGCTTCATAAGATGTGCTATTAACGAGCGCGTTTTTTTAATATTTGTTATAAGCTTATCTTTTGTTTCATTGTCAAAAATGTTTTCGTAATAGCTGCTTTTTGAACTCCTTTTAGTATTATGGCTTTTTTGTTCTTTTTTCCCCAACTGAAATATATTAACTTTTTTATTAGTATTAAAGTGATTATCATCAGAGTTCATGATGTCTTGAAATGTTAATTTTGGAATCGTAGAAATGTTGCTAATTTTTAACTTTAATCCATCGATTTCTTTTTTAAAGTTTATTAAATGTCCATCAATGATGTTTAAAATATCTTGACTAGTTAAATCTTCTGTTTTACTTGATTTTATTTCAAGATATCGTTGATTATTTAAAGAATTTTGTTTTTTATCTCCAGAAAAACTTTTTACTTTTCGCTCTTCATTATTTTCAATATTATCCTCTAACTTTTTTATTTCTAAAACTCTAGCAACAAATTTAATGAATTGATCTTGACTTTGCTTATCAAGACCATCAAGTGCAATAGCTTTAATGTTTTCATCTAATCTGGCATGAGCATTACCGTTTTTTAAAAATCTTAATATTTGAGAAGCGTCGTCAATATATCTTTTGGTGCGCTGCAAATATTTCCTAAAATACCTGTTTACAGAATGTTTTTTAAATTCTATTGATTTATTTGCATTTGAATGCCTTTCCATCTTTTGAACACTTTTTCCTTCAACACTCCTTTTTATATTAAGATCATCAAGACTTTCACATGATCCTGTTTTCTTAATACTATATGAAATAAATAAATATTATTAATATACTTTATATATATATTATTTTATACTTTATATATATATATATATATATATATATATATATATATATATATATATATTGTATATACTTTATATATATATATAAATATATATTATATATTTTTTATTTATATATATATATATATATATATATATATATATATATATACATATATATATATATATATATATATATATATATATATATATATATATATATATATATATATATATATATATATGTATATATATATATATATATATATATATATATATATATATATATATTATATATACTTTATATATATTATATATACTTTATATATATATATATATATATATATATATATATATATATATATATATATATATATATATATATATATATATATATATATAATATATATATATATATATATATATATACTTTATATATATACATATATATATATATATATATATATATATATATATATATATATATATATATATATATATTTATATATATACACACACACACATATATATATATATATATATATATATATATATATATATATATATATATATATATATATATATATATATATATATTAGGGTGGAGTGACATTTTTTTTTTAAATTCATTTAGTAATGTGTGCAATATATATAGTGTACAAAAGGTGTCCACTCTTATGAGATATTTTCTGGAAAAATTTAAATGTTATAAGAAATTACATAATTACCCCAAGACCTTTATTAAATGTATTAAAAAAATATATAAATACATTAAAAAAATATGTTTCAAAAATATTTTATAGTGGGTCTTAGATAATGCAAAATGATAAACTTTTTTCTTTTAAAATACTATTTTTGAAACATTTAAGTATATTTACTAGAGGGTTGAAATTTTTCCAGAGTATTTCTAATATGAGTGGATAACTTTTCCACACCTTTAAAGTATGCAAAATTTAAGCGATAAAGCGTGCAACTGCATTAGTATCCTCAAATTGTAACTGGAAATAAGATACCCTTAAAAGTAAACTTAAATAACTTTAACTAAATAGTATAACAACTTTACTGAAGGGTTTGCGGTATATATCTTTTTCTATAACTTGTATAAAAATGCAACAAAGATATTTAATGTAAAGGTTCAAAAGGGATATACTTTAAATTTATAAATAACAAAGACTGATGTCTACGCATCAGTGGCGCCACCCTAGATCTGTCCCTGTATAGTGTGTTTATACGTGTGTGTTATGTATACGTTTAATGTAAATATATATATATATATATATATATATATATATATATATATATATATATATATATATATATATATATATATATATATATATATATATATATATATATATATATATTAGGTATATGAATTTTTTTCAATGGGGTGGCAAATGATAAACTTTTATCTAAATATAGTAAATATGACTTAACTTTTGTTTAAATTTTAAAAAACCTGGCGCACCTTTAAAGAAATAGCTACAATGCTTAATTCACACAAGTTATATATTGTAAAACAGAAATTTTAAACATCCATATGAATATATGCTTACTTTAGTCACTGTTGAGTGTTCACAGTTGTAAATTTGAGTTTAAGAACTTAGCATTAAGGTACTTGTCACTTTTGCAGGTAGTGTAAATGTCTTCCATTATTTTGACTGCTCTTTCAGCCACAATGTTTGATTGTGGAATGTCAATGACTGAAGGCTGATTTACCCAATGCGTTTGGAAACACTTTGTTGTTTTCTGGCAATCAAATTCTGAAACAGCAGAATGCAATTCTTTAAAACTGTGTTCAGTAAAATGCTGATTAGAGAACCACGCTGATGCTCATACAGTTGATATAAAGTTGCAGATACTGCTCAGCTGCTGACGATATTTTTCTAGAAAATAAGCTAGTAAAGCATATGTTGCTCTAGAGTTCCATCTCGCATTATGAAGTGAAAAAAGTTTTCGCTATTTGATTTTTTGAAATTTAGCGCATTTCTTGTACACTTTGTAAGCCTCGCAAAGTTCGAATAGAAACTTGAAATCACTCCTCCATCCAGAATTTGCAGAAGCAGGTACTTCGACTTAATCTGTATAATTCGTCTGAAGGTTCTCAATCTGACTGCAAATGTTATCAACAAACTCATAGTTTATATCTGGTTTCTGTGAGACTGTTGGAAAACAGAAGTCAAGTAAATATCGAAAAACCAAGACAAGGATGTCGTGTTGACACTCAATGTACTGCGGTCTAATAATACATATTCTTTCAAATTCTTTATAAAGCCAAGGGATTATTCCATTTCTGCTACCAGTGTTGACTGCTATTGTATTGTAAACAATCATTTTAATACTCTTCCAAGCATCGAAGTCATCTAAGGGCTTCTTCAATCCAGAAAATATGTTTGCAGCCGAACCAGATTCACATATGATGATACCTAAATTCAATTTCCTTGAAGGACTTTGCAAGCTAACAACTTCATATTCTTTAGATGACAGTTTCTTTCCATCAAAATACAAACAGAAATCAATTTCCAGCTGAAGAATGCGTTTTATATCAGCAGCCTTTCTAATTCCATCTCTGACCACTCTATTCCACATTCCAGTTTGTGATGGTGTGGATAACTTAACAGAACATTCAGCAGCTAGACTAGAACAGACTCTTGATGATTGTCTTGTAGATAGAGAGTATTTGGTAACCAGATTTGTAGCAGCCTTGGTTTTTTGATACTTTTTTCTCCTTGTTTTCACTTCAGGTATAAAATCATTACCAGGTGATATTTCGGCATCAGTTTCTTGCACAGATTCATCTGAAGTTACCATGACTTGTTTTTTAACTCAATATTGCATAACTTTTCGGCGTTTAGACGGATGAATTGTTGAGAGTGGTGCAAGTTTCGCAATTTGTATCCAACAGTACCTTGAGATTCAATCTGCTGTAGGTAAAGTTGCTTGTCTTCAGAGGACAACCAATTTTCATTAGTTTTGGTTATATTAAAGAGGCTTGCTAATTCCTCCAGAAATCTCTTACCCTTTTTCTTTCTGTATCTCACATATGCATCAATTAGATTTGCAATTTTTGGGTGGACACGTTGCATTGATACGACTGGAAAATTAAATTTATCCCAAAGTAAATTCAGTTCCTTTGCAATAGTTTCTATTCTTATTTTCTTCTCCTTTATTTTATCATATAATCCCAAAAAACGCCCAACAATGTTCCTGTTAAGAGGCATTTTGCAGAGCACATTTAATTCAGTAACTCGCAAAGGTATTTCTGAACGCCTAACAACTTTGCTTTTTATATTCTGCTGCCATACATTGGAGCTTTTATTAACTCGGTTACGTGATAATTTAGACAAGTCTTTAATGAACTAAATGAAATCTAAACTTTTTCTGTCAGAATAGCTTCTACAATAAAACAACAAAGCAATTAGTCAAAAGCAGATGAGGAAAATCGAAGCTTATAAAGCCAAACTACTAGAAACTTTACTTTTAATATGAAATTTCGAAAGTGTAAGCATATTGGTTAAAGGCAGATTGTTAAAACTATATATAGCTTTATTTAGCAATAAGAAGCTAACATTTAAGGTATAAAACATTACCAACATTTAGCGCAATATAATTATATAACGCCATTTGTTTAAAGATTTAAATTGAATAGTTACGTCATCAAAAGATACTTAAGGGTGCGCCACCTTTTTTTATAATTTTTCACTAAAGGAATAATAAATGCAATCTACATATAAAAATTCATTTACTGAAACCGCAGGAAATCAATTTTTATTCAAAAAGTTTATGCCTAATATACATATTCACATACATTATATATATATATATATATATATATATATATATATATATATATATATATATATATATATATATATATATATATATATATATATATATATATATATGTATATATATATATATATATATATATATATATATATATATATATATATATATATATATAATATATATATATATATATATATATATATATATATATATATATATATATATATTGTTCATTTCATGTTATTAAAAAAATATGCTCTTATTGTATTAAATCTACACTTTTCTTTTTTTTTTCGTATTTCCTATTATTCAAAATATACATTGTTATTGTATTAAAAGCTAAATTTTCTATCTTTAAGGTAATGACCTCTTAAAAACTACGCCCATAGCATAGCAATAAAAATACAAAGAAAAACATATTTAAGAGTTTGTAAATTAGTTAATATTACATTGGTAGATTAGAAAAAGTCTAACATTATTTAGAAATGAGATAACTGTAAATTTTAAATTAAATTATTAAACAGTAAAAGGTCATAATACATAAATTGAACCATTTAAAAACTAAAAATTTGATTTGCATTTACTTTTCGGGGATTTTAAAATTGTAAAAGAGATAAACTTGTAATTAATTTATCATCTAGGGTGTTTAGAGGTACTGATTCAATCATTGTTTAATAATTTCATTTAAATTAGTAGAACCCAGAGCTGAAAGTTTATACGTGTAGTGTTTACAGGTGTATGTGTTTTTAAGGGGAACCTACCAGATCTTTAGAATATATTCAGAACCTTTGCATATGTTCTAAAAAATATCCAAGTTTGAAAGATTATATAAAGTGGAATTTTTTTAATCAATTTTATAAATCCATGAAATTTACTTTTTTTAAGACTTTTAACAGTAACAAGAAATGTTAACATCGCTTGTCATTGTTTATCATTGGTAAAAAAAACGCTCGATAAATTTTGGAATTAAAGTTCTATTGAGTTTTGTTCTAAAAAAGAAATATAAAGCAACAGCCTACTTTTAAGACGTGTTTGCCTGGATTTACATTTACTTTTTTGCCTGTCTGTTTGTAAGGGAGACCGGGGCAACAAGACTAGGTTAATAACTTTTGTTGCTTATTAATTTATTTTCAAGGATAGTAAAATTAATTTTACACGAACATATTAGAGTAGTTCTTTGTGATATTAAATATATTACCATTTACTTATTCAAATAAAAAAAATGAAAGATAATTTTATTTTTCACAACCTTAAAAAATTGTCATCTTTCCCCAGTACAGGGGCAAGATGACTTTAACCTTGGTGCAAGATGACAACACTGAAAATAGTTTAAAATATTTTTTTTTTAAATATGCTACATGATTTAACAAATTATAACTGTGTTTTTAAATTTTACAAACGATAAAACTAAGCGCAATGCATTGTAGTGTAATGTTGAATTGTTTGGTTGTACCTCTAACAATAGTCACAAATAAAAATACTGCTTTCATAATTGGAACATTCCTCGTGCCACCTCTATTGGCATCTACAAAACTAAATCCATTCTTCCGTTGAAGGTTCACAGCATTCCTCTTTGCAAGCAGGACATCTTAAAACATCATCCTTTAAAATTGATGCAACTAGATTGTTTGTCCTGGATTTTATAGACTTAGTGCCTACAAGCACTTAGCTTGAGTTTATTTACACCCTTTTTAGCTTCACGAGTTTCTTTGCTCTGCTTTTTTAAACTCTCTTGTTCTTCTTTCTGCTTTTTTCTTTGTTTAAACAGTTCTCATTTTTTTTGCTTTGCGTTTTTTCGCACGTTCGTGCTATGGACAATGCACAATGGTCTGAAAAACTTGATTTTCAGCCAAAATTAAAGTTTTGATGTTTATATACTAAATTAATAATTATGAATCCAAATTTGAAAACAGTTTTTGATTTGAAGATTTTGTTGTTGAGATATCGCATAAGCGGCCCAGTCGATTTCAGAAATTTATATATATATATATATATATTTATATATATATATATATATATATATATATATATATATATATATATATATATATATATATATATATATATATATATATATTTATATATAGATGTTCAAAATATACTGTAAATATGTTTTAATTTACCAAAATATGCATTTTTTTAAGTATTTTCATCTAGTTAAATATGTTGAATATTTTATAAAAATAAAATAAAAAATTTTTGAACTATTTTCAATAATTTAAGTAGCAAGTACGATTGTATAAATAAATAAAAATATTTTTGAACATGTATTTATAAAAATAAAACAAAAAGACACTAGTATTTCGATAACATAAAATAGGCATATTTTGGGAGCTTTAAAATTGGTTTGAATAATTATATATACAGCTGGGTTTTTTTAAATAATAAATGTATATTAGTATTTAATAAAATTATATCGAACAAGTCCATGCATACAGACTTTAGTTTAATGAAAAGGTTGAAATTTTATGCTAATTTCAGACATAAATAACTTATGCAAATATACAAATAATAAAAAACTATCGTTATTTCAAATTAAACTCTATACTAAAACATTTGTTAAAAAAAAATCAACACATATGTGCATATAATTATAAATTTATACACCAATGAAAAAATGTTGTATTTTTGCAATAAATAACCCATCGATTTTTAATTGCTCTTGGATACGGTTATTGACTTTTCGTTCAAAACAAAATATGAAACCTATATATTATTGAATGGCCTGCATAATGTTGTGTTTAAAAATAATTATAAAAAAAATTACAAATTTTTTTTTCTAATTTTGGCCTAAAATCTTATTTTTCAGACTACTGTGTAATGATTTGAAACTTTTTGCGAAGCATCCTTATTTGACATAAGTATAAACATACAAATGTTTGGAGTTTGCTCCATGTCTGGAAGTTAGCTATCTATGCTGGATCCGCCCCTGCATCATGGTCAGTAGTTTTTGTAGAAGCAAAGTCATGTTTGCAAAACACAAGTGTGTTATAAGGCTCGATCCTACATTCTTTAAACCCATTAACTGCATTTTCAACTGTAGCTGCTTTAAAATAAGCGGTCCACAAAAGATCACCAATATTTTTCTTTACAATAGGTTATCCTGGATGAGTGACCATAAAGTTGCCACATGCTTGGATATAGTAGGTCTTTAATGGGACAAAGTATGACACATCAAGTGGCTGGAGACAATGTAATGTGTGGGGCGGCAACCCAACCATGATCATGTTTTTCTCTCTGCAACATTCAAAATGCTAATAATCACTGGAGCAGATCACGTGAAGATGTGAAGATGCTTCAAATGTAAAGTAAAGTAAAGTGCTTCAAAAAAGATAAAAAAGGTTCCCTCGTTGCTCCAGCTGTTGTCACTATAGTGGCTTACAGTTCCTGGTAGACTCTTTCTATAAGTTCAGGAAACATTCTTTTTCTGGCAAAAATCAGAAAAGGTGGCAGGTAAAATTCAGTAGAGTCAATACAAAAATTATAGTTACATTTCTTTCTCTCTCTCTGCTGAAACAATTTTAGAAATTGTTCTAGATCCTGTAGGACTGAGAACCATGGGTAGCTTATTAAGCAAAGCTGACAGACTCATCTGCATTGTAGATTGAAGAAACAGGGAATTTATACTTTTCCCGTTGCTTCCTTAAATTGTTGAAAAATTTGTCTACACTTGGTTTATTGAAAACCATTGCAATGATGTTGATTCTGTTTTGCGTAAACTAAATTTATGTTTCTTTGTAAAATTAGCCATCCAATATTCTCCAGCCATCTTTCTATTCTTGATGAACGGATAAAAAATATTACATTCTTTAGCAAAGTCAAAAATTAGTCTTCTACACTATTTCTTTGTTAATCCAAAAAAAAATTTTCCATTGCTATTATGTAGAGTTTTAAATCTTTCTGCTGTGAGCATTTAAGACTTCTCTATATATTCCTCAAGGAACCGGCATCTCCTAAAACAAAAATTAGCATTCTAGTGGAATAAATTTCAGGACTCAGATTTTACATATTGGAATACAGATTTAATAACAGAATTTAAACTAAGAGATTAGGTCAACTAATTACTAGGTTCAAATTATTATTTTTCTTAAAATCTGTTCAAAATTTATCCTCACATTTTTATTTTTTTTTCAAGCGGCGACGCAGTGTAGCTTCAAGTACGTTAAATGCATTTGCAAGAAGCTCATACGTCCTTCTTGAAAATTTCTTGGACAGAGCTTTTTTCTCTATTTACTTCTTGAAGTTTTCTTTTTAAAGAGTCTAACCATATCTAAAATATAAATATATATACAACATATCA